TTTTTTTTTTTTGGTTGCTGAGTAATATTCCATTGTGTGTATGTATCACAGTTTTTTAATCTTTGGGCTGTTTCCATATCTTTCCAGTTGTAAATAAAGCAGCAATCAACATGGGGGTGCAGGTATCTTTCTGAATCAGTGTTTTTGTGTCTTTTGGGGAGACACCTAGGAGTGGGATTGCTGCCTGCACTTTTTTTTAAAGATTTATTTATGCATACAGAACTGGGGTACAGGCCAGAGGTGCAGGGGTGGTGAGAGGATTCACCAGAGACAGAGTGGGGTGCTGAAAAGGCAGATCGACGGAGTACACTGCTGAGGGGAGCAGCGGGCGAGACAGGAGAGGTCTGCCGCGCCATGTGGTCACCTCTGGGACCGGGGATTGAATTCACACTGAAGCATCTGTGGCCAGCTTGCAGTGCTGGGTCCTAAAATGTTACACCACCAGGGAGGGCCCTGTCCTGCACTTTCTATTGGGAGCATGTGAAGGGAAAGAGCACCTGCCCCCTCCCCTGTCTGCCCGAGAAGGGCACCACCACCCCTTTGTGCCTTTATTCCCTGGGACAGCACCTTAATCCTCCAATTCTAACAAGTCAGTGAATGAGTGCTCCCTAGAGCTCAGCCGTCTCTCTGGCAAAGTTCTTTATTTTCTTTCCCCTGCTAGAGACAACATCTTCACAACAAAACGTGGTTCTAAAGAGAAGGCATCTAAGGTCATGGTGGTGATCACTGATGGAGACATTTTCCAAGACCCCCTCAACCTCACAACTGTCATCAACTCCCCGAAGATGGAAGGAGTTGAACGATTTGCTATCGGGGTAAGAGCCCAGGGCCCGGACACTCCCTGACCCTGTGCAGTTTGGGGTGAAAAGGAACTGGGGGCCTCCTTAAGCAGTTACTCCAGCCCTGCTCTATTCACAAACACCAACTTCTTCCTCCCAGTCCCATGTGGAACCCCACTCCCTCCCCTGACTCTTCCCACCAAGGGGGTTCCAGGGCTCCAGGGCTCTTTTCCCAATGTGGTCACAGCTCCCTGGCCCAGCAGAGATGGGGGGAGGGGGACATTGGACTCCCTGGGGCACCCACAGGAAACACTGGGGAAGGTTCCTGGAGAGCTGATCTTGCTTTGGAGGACAGGCAGATAGCTGCCCAGGGGCAGGGGCAGGGGGTGGGAGGCACTGCAGGCAGCTGGGCAAGGTGTGCAGGCATGAGAAGGCCCTTGGCGCTCAGGTAGACACCTGTAGATTGTTGTAAAACACCTGTTGATGTGTGCCTGGAACCAGCCTGTACCGACTCACTGACACGGGGTCTGTGCAGGTCGGGGAAGCATTTAACAAAAGTAAGGCTGCCCAGGAGCTGAATCTGATCGCCTCAGACCCCGATGACACCCATGCCTTCAAGGTGACGGACTACAAGGCGCTGGACGGGCTGCTGGGCAAACTGCAACAGAACATCCTCCGTACGGAAGGTGAGGGCTCCGGCTGGCCTGGCCTCTCTGTGGGGCCCTCGGCACTGGGCAGGCCTGAGGCCGACCTCTATGCTCCCTCCACATGGCGCTCTAGGCAACCACTGTTGCTCCTCTCAGCCTCAGCTCTTGCATGTCTGCAGAGGCAACAGTACCCCCAGCCCTCCTTCCTCCCCACAAATTCCGTGAAGCCCTGATGAACGGAGCACATGCTGGAGAATGGATGACGGCATATGCCTGTGCTCCTAGGAGCTCACAGATGAGGGAAGGGGGGCCCAGGTCAGGGCGTGAGCTCCAGCCACTGCATCGTGTTGCTGAGGCAGGATGGGGGCTGCTCTCAGCTTGGGGCTTGTCCCTTTAAGCCCAACAGGGCTCCCTGGGGCGAGGCCATTGGGCCCTGACTGGCTGGCTTCTCCCCACACCTCACCCACACATGTGTCTCGTGGCCTTGGCTTCCAGGCACGGTGGGAGAAGCCCTCCACTACCAGCTGGCACAGACTGGCTTCAGCGCCCGGATCCTGAGTGAGGTACGTGGCCTCATTCCGCACCAGGCAGGCTCTCCGGGGATCAGGGGGTGGGGGGAAGGGGAACCCCAACCACACCCAGGGACCTAGGGACCCTCAGCTTCCGGGAGGGGCTCTGCCCACCGGAGATAATGCGTGGGAAGAAGTTATATGAGGGCCATTTCTGCTTGCGCATAGACAGGAAAATGACCAGAGGTGCTTTGCTCTGGGTGCCCAGGCCTGACTAGTAAGGAGGGCTCTGGCCGGAGGGCTGCCCACGCTGTGAGCTTCTCCCCGGAGGAGGCTCTGTTCCCTGGGGGCAGGGATGTGCCTCGAGGACTGCCCTTGAGCTCCGTGACGCACCGTGGACACCTCTGTCCATCACAGGTGGGCCTGTGCATCGTGCCTTTTAACATGCTCCGCCTCTGGGCCTGGTTGACTTTCTGCTCTGTGGGTCGTGGGGACTAGAGAAAGGTTCCCTGGCAGATGTGCAGGGTTCCAGGCTGGCAGCAGCCATCTTGCCTTCCTCTGCACCTCTGGCAGGCCAGGGGCCGCTGAACACCCTCTTCCCCCAACAAGGCTCGCTGGGCTGGTCAGTAGGCCTGTGGCCACAGTAGCTGGCCCAAGTCCTCCTGCTCAGAGAGCCTCCCTGCTTCTCTGCAGAGGAAGGTGCTGCTGGGCGCCGTGGGAGCCTTTGACTGGTCAGGGGGCGCATTCCTCTACGATATGCACAGCCAGCAGGGCCAATTCCTGAACCAGACGGTGGCCGAGGCCAGGGCGGCGCCTTACAGCTACCTGGGTGAGGGCAGGGCCGAGACGGGCACACGGGCTGCATGTTCAGCTGCACTGGGCTTCCTGGGCAGGGGGTGTCTTGATTGGTCACATGGCCTGAGGCATGAGGGCTGGTTAGGCGCCCCGAGGCTGAGAATCAGGGCCTCCTAGGTGAAAACGGTCTGCCCTATACTGGAAGAGTGGCGTGGCCCTGGGCAGTAGCCCAGGGAGGCAGAGCCTTGCCTTTGCTAATAGCGGGGTGACCCTTCACCCCTGGGCCCTTATATGTAGCACCATGATGCATGTGGGTGGTGATGTGTGTGAGCTGAGTGGGTTCTGAGTGAAGCCTTATGTCTGGTAGAGTGTGTAGGTCACATCTGTGCTGGGGCACATGTGTGTGGCTGCCGACGATGGGCGGTCGGTACTCACTGACGCTGACTTTAAAAAGAATGGAAGAGTCTTTCCTAGTTTGGGGCAGGGGGCCCTATCAAGCCTGGCTGGGAAGATGGGCCAGAGGAGTGGCCTAGCGGGAGCACCCACCCCACAGGCTACGATGTGGCGGTACTGCACAAGGCCTGCAGCGTGTCCTACGTGGCGGGAGCTCCTCGATACAAGCAGAGGGGGGCTGTGTTTGAGCTCCAGAGCGAAGGCGAAGAGACCAACTTCATGCCGGTTCTGAAAGGAGAGCAGGTACCTGCGGGGGGAGGCCCCCAGCCTGCACTGTTACAGCTGAGGAATTTGGGGGCCCCAGAGGAAAAGGCACGGCTCTGGGGCGCACAGTGGGGTGGGAGCTAGCCTGGGCAGAGCGGCTGAGCCCCGCTGTGGTCTGGTGGCCAGCTGCCTTTCCCCCTTGAGGGAAATGGGGCTGCTCACTCAGCCTCCTGAGTTCTCTGGGGCACGTGGCCTGAGGAGGCCCACATGTGGCATTCCAGGAGCAGGGACTTAGCGTTGCTGAGGGGTGGGGGCGGGCTCCCCAGCACTGCCTGTAAGCTGAGTTCCTCCTGGGCTGTAGATGGGATCCTATTTTGGCTCTGAGCTGTGCCCTGTGGACATCGACATGGATGAGACCACGGACTTCTTGCTCGTAGCGGCTCCATTTTACCACATCCATGGAGATGAAGGCAGAGTCTATGTGTATCGTCTGAATGAGGTGGGAGAATCTCCATCTTTGTCAGTCTTGGGGCTAAGGCTACTTATGTTGGGGAGGTGCTCAGGGTGTGTGGTGCAGGCAGACAGCTGTCCACCCCCTCTCCACCCCACTTTCTCATTGTCCTCCTCATTGTCCTCACCCCATCCTCTCATGTTGATGATGATGACGCTCCACAGAGCTGCGCAATCAAGAAAGCACAGGTTGTCTATGACCTTACTCATTTCCTGCAGTCACTGGGAAGTCTCCCAGTTGACAGATTTTTTTACAAGTTTTATTTATTCATATGTAAAGAATTGGGGTACAGGCCAGAGAGGTACAGGGAGTGAAAGGATTCAATAGAGACAGAGTAGGGAGCAGAACAAGTGGATCTGTTGAAATACACTGCTGAGGGGAGCAGTAGATGGGTCAGGAGAGGTCTGCCGTGCCATGTGGGTCAGCTCCCTGGCAGGGGATGGAACTCATATTGAAGCAGCTGCGGCCAGCTTCATAGTACTGTACTTTAACCCACTGCGCCACTAGGGAGGTTGCCCAGTTGGCAGATTTTTACAGCTCCATCTTACCAATGAGGTCGAGGCTCGGTGATGTTGAGACCTGCTCGAGTTTACCTGGGCAGTGTATGGGAGAGCCCAGACAAAGGTGCAGGTCTTCCAGTCACCCATCCAATAACCCTAATTGTGGGAGCAGAGGGAGGCAGGATTTGGGTCCTGAACTACAAGGCAGGAGACTCCAGCTTGACCACTGGCTCCCAGTGTGACCGTGGGGCGGTCCTTTGCCTTTTCCAAGACAGACTCCCTGCTGGAGAGTCAGAACCAGCAAGTCCAGTGAACATACCTCCGGGGCGGCAATGGGGCAGGTAGATACTCAGCACCCATCTCCCGGGCTGATCTGTCCCTTTGCTTTACAGAATGGTTCCTTCTCCTTGGCACACACACTGAGTGGGGACTCTGGGTTCGCTAATGCCCGATTTGGCTTTGCCATGGCGACAGTGGGGGATGTCAATCAGGATAAGCTCACAGATGTGGCCATCGGGGCCCCCCTGGAGGGCTTTGTGACAGAAGACGACAGCAACTTCGGCAGTGTGTACATCTACAATGGCCGCCGGAGTGGTTTCGCCTCCAGTCCCTCACAGGTGACTATAGGGCTCTCTCCTGCCTCTACTTTGGGGCTCTGACGTCCAGGTGTAATGAGCTGAGCCCCAGTGCTAAATGCCGGGGAGGGGTTGGGCGTGTCCGTGAAGGAGAGAGTCACTCAGGCTGTGGGAGTTTCTAGGCCAGTCTCACCTGCACCCTTCAGGTGGAAGGAGAGGTCTGGCAATATCCCTGGATTGCACTGACCTAGTGTCCCTCCTTCACTGGCGCTCCTGACCCTGCACCTGACACAGGCCCGTCCTTCCTTTCTGCCCCTTCTCTGGCTCCTGATTCCCAACCCCAACCCCTACCTGCCCCGCCCCAGGGCTCCAAGGCCAAGTGCTTCATGGGCCCTCACCTGCCTATAGCTACAGGCTCGCTCCTAAGCTTCAGCCCCGTTTCAGCTGCCTCCTGAGCAGCTCACCTGGTGGTCCCAGGCATCTCACTCTCACCCCCTCTTCCTCCCAGACCTGCTGCTCCCAGCCCTTCACTCACAGCAGAACCTGGGGTTCCCAGACACCTGGCCTGCCAGGCTCCAGCCTTCTCGTCCTGATGATCCTATCAACAGCCGCTTCCTCTCCTCCATCTCCACCTCAGCTCCCCATCTCCACTCACGGTCTTAAGAAGTGTCTCTAAAGTGTAATTCTGATCGGACACACCCACCCTCCACACCCAGCCCCACATCAGACCTCCTGGCTCCTCCTCCTCCTCCTGACCACCCCCCCCTGTCCCCCATTGACCCCTGGCTGTGCCTTCAACTGCCCCCCCCTTCCCTCATGTCCATAGATCAAGCCTATAGGCCTTCCCCAGGGAGGCTCCGTTCAAACGCCACTTCCCTGGGGAACCTTGCCCTTGTCTTTGGAGGTGGCTTCTAGGTTGGGGACTCCTTAGGGGTCAGGACCATGACTGAGCTGTTGATTGGAACAAAACTGAAAAGACTCCCCTTTCTTCTCCGGTGTCTTGTGTTTCTCCCGCACAGAGGATCAGAGCCTCGACCTTGTCTATAAGGCTTCATCACTTCGGGGTGTCCCTGGACGGGGGCTTAGACATCACCGGCGACGGCCTTGCTGACATCACCGTGGGCACTCTGGGCCGGGCGACTGTGCTGCGGTAGGGGTCTGCTCTGCCCTCAGCCCTGCCCTGCCACCCAGGGGCCCTGTCCAAGGGCCTCACGCCCAGGGCCCATTTGGGTTTGAGCTAAGCCTTCACTCACTGGTGTGTCTTGGCAGTCATAAATTTCAAGTCCCAATTTTCTCATGCATCAGTGGAATAACAGTGCCTCCCTCAGAGTTGTGAGGGTCCGTTGAGAGGACAGATGCACAGCATGCGTGCAGTGCTGCGTGGCTATTGCACGTATGCATTTCAGAGCTGCTGGCTCGTCCCCCAAGGGAATGTTCACGTTGTCTGCGGCTATAAGTAAGCTGACGGAGCACCTGTCGGCACCATGCTCCCCACCAAGGTGCACCCCTGGCTGTCGACGCGACACCCCTCTTGGCTATGGCTCACAAGCACCGCTAAGTTACCTCTTACCACCCGCCCCTCACTCCCCTCCACCTGTCACTGCCCAGCTCCCCAGCTCAGCAAGCGGTGCCATTTGTGAGGGGAAAACACAGGCGTTGTCCTTGGTTCATCGTTTTTCTTCCTCTATTGTCCCATCACAAGTCTCTGTTGCCTCTGCCTTCAAAATGCTTCCTAACACGGGCCCCCGTGGCCTCTGGCCTGGGTGGCCGCTGCGGCCTTCCTCCCGGGGGCCACGCTCTGTTCTCCACACAGAGCCCAGTGTGGTCCCTTCCTGCTGCGGCCTGAACCCCCTCCATGGGTCTTCCACTTAGAGGGAAACTCAAATTCCTTCTCGTGGCCTACCCTCTCCGTGGCCTGGCCCTGCCCCCCACCCCCCCCCCCCCGCGCCATTCTCACTGCCTGTTACTGCCTCACTTACCAATCGTGTTCGGCCTTGCCGACCTCTGAGTTCCTCGGGCAAGCCCAGCTCCCTCCTACCGCAGGCCATTTGGGCCCCCTGTGCTGTCTTCCCAGAGTGCAGTTCACCTCGATCTCATAGCTGGCTCTTTCTTCTTAAGGAATCTCAGCTTACATGGCTCCTTATCAGGGAGGTTACCCTAAGTAACCCCGCTCCTGTTACCTTATATTAATTTATGTTTATCACAGCATTACCCGTACGGAGTATTTTCCTTTTCCTCTGGTTTGATTGGTGTCTGTTTTCCCAGTAGAGCAAGGACTTGTCTCTTTTCTCTTTCCCTGCTGTGTCTTGATGACTCAGAACAACATTTGCCCTTTGAGAGGTGGTCAATAAATAGCCACCGAGTGAGTAAATCAGGCAAGCATTGACCCAGCATCCTCTGGTCACTCTCGTGGTCCTTTTTGCCGTCTTGTTAGCTCAAGACCCGTGGTTTTCCTGAGGCCGTCCATGACCTTCATGCCCAAGGCACTGCCCATCGGCTTCAATGGCAACGTGACTGTGAACTTGTGTTTTGAAGCAACCACAGCTGCCGAGTCAGGTAGGCCCCTGCGCGTGGCTGTTCCTCGTGGCCTCAGTAGCTCAGTAGGGGCAGAAAGAGAGAGCTGGGAGCCGTGAGTTGGGGGGGGGGGGCTGGCGCATCAAGTCCTGCCAGAGCTTGGCTCCTTTGATGTCCGGGTCTGCTTCATGTGAGATGTGTTTCATGTGAGCTGTCCCAGAAAGCAGTGATCGGCTGTTAAGCCCATACCCTAAGGGGTTCATCTGACTCTGCTGGGATGCTGGGCAGAGGGGCACCAGATCCGTTCCCCAGGGGTGAAGTGTTGAGTTTCTGAAAGAAGACCCCAAAAAGGCAGCCATTTCTCCACCTCTATCCACCGCATTGCTGTGGAGGGCTCCTGAGAAGCGCCCTCCCTCCCACTCTCTGACTTTCTTTGTCTTCTCTTCCTCTTTTACAGGACACAGTGAGGGACACCCCAGACCACAAACCCACATGCTCTAAACAGTTTCTGCCATCTGACACAGCAAGACAAAACATACTCTAGGGCCTAAGACCTTCAACAGAAAGGAACTTTAATATAATCAGTCTGCAGTAGCGTGTGTCATGAAGAGAAGAGAAAGAAAAGTAATTAAAATAGTTTCCCCAAGAAACACCCAAAGTCACCCGTCCTCTGTGTGTAGATGCCCAGCCAAACACGGGTGGCCCAACGCAGGGCCATTGAGCCCCAAAGTCTAAGAAAGCTCCTGGTGGGGACCCACAGGAAAGGGGCCGAGGGGCCAGGCAAGACAAAGGCTGCGTTGTCAGCCTCCCCACGGGGCTCTCACCCACGTCTGTTTCCGATGTCTCCTTCCAAGTCCCCCAAGTTCCTGGTGCAAGTCCACAGCCGAGAACAAGCACAGTTTCTTCATGTCTCTCTGCTCCATGTGCCGCCTCCAGTCTCCCTCCTCCGTCTCTCTGTTTTTCCTTCTGCTGCTGCTTCCCTCAGTCTCTTGTAGCTTCACCTCCCTGGCCACCCTTCCGTGGTGGCAACCTAAGGATGTCACACTGTGGAGGGTGACACCTTCTCTCTGTTTTTCCTTCTGCTGCTGCTTCCCTCAGTCTCTTGTAGCTTCACCTCCCTGGCCACCCTTCCGTGGTGGCCACCTAAGGATGTCACACTGTGGAGGGTGACACCTCCTCTCTATGTCTCCTGGTCCCCAGCGGCATTAGGTCCTCTGCCGATGCCTGGCCTCTCCTCCCGGCCCTTGCCTGCCACTGAATGGGAATCCTTCCCTAGGGCAGAGTGGGGGTGGTGTCCCCAGCCCAGGTATTCACTGCTAATCAAGAGTTCCCTCCAGGAGAATCCCTCAGAAATAGCCCCCTAAATTCAATCTCAGTAGCAATCCTGGAGCACCTCTCTCCCTGTCCCTACGGGTCAGAAAGCACCTTCCCAGGAAGTTGGCCTCACCACATGGATCACGTCTGGAGGCAGAAAATGACAGGCATGACAGTTTCAGGGATGGAGCCAGGCCTAGAGCCTGGCTAGCAGCCACTGAGCTGCTGTGTGGCCCTGGGCAGGTGTCTTTCACTCTCTGGGCCCTGGCTACTTTATATAAGGGACCCAAGCCATTTACAAGCTGCTTCCGGCTCTATGATCCTGTGGTTTTACCCGATAGCTTCTCTCTCTGTCCCTTCTATTCTTCTTCCTCCTCCCAACCTCCTTCCGGATCCTTCCTTTATTTTTGGGAAGAGTGATGGAGCCCTGTGGAATGTGCTGCTTCAGTTTTGCAGGTTGGTGTGTGTGTGTGTGTGTGTGTGTGAGGTGGTTCTAAAGGACCCTAGCTCAGTGCCAGGGTACGCTGAGAAAAGTACTTTTGAAATGACAAAGAAACTCAGGAGTCCTGCTGTAGGGACAGCGTCTGGGAGGTGCTTACACAGAAGCTCAGGCAGGTGGGGGGGCTCTGTCTGGGGGTGGCCACCCCGGCCTCATCTGGAAGGGCTGCGCTCCATTTCCAGGTTTCGGAAAGACATACCTGAACTTCACGTTGGACGTGGATGTGGCAAAGCAGAGGAAGAGGTGGGAGTGTTCAGACAAGCAAGGGCGTCTGCCCCTCGGCCCGTGCGGAAGTGAGCCTTGTTTCTGTCAGCACCTCGAGCTCATTCCCACAGAGGCAGAGGTAAGTGGAGAGCTTAGAAGAGTCAGAGGGTCTCTGCTGTTGAGAAAAGATATGAGGGGCAAGGAAGACTGCATACCTGCGCCTACAAATGAGGCAATTACAGTAACCATGTAATCATGGAGGGTCAAAGCCACACACCCACAGGGAGATGGGGCTAATTATAGCAGAGGCCCCACTAATGAGACCCACTGAGATGGAATACTCTGTGCTTAAAGAAATGCCTGATGATGGTGGGGCTTTAGGCTGTTATGTGAATCAACAAAGAAAGTGGGTGAGAGAAACAGCGAGACGAAAGTTATCATTTACAAAGAATTGCTCCAGCCTTTTTGCCTGATGAACCAGAACTCACCTCAGAGGGGAACCAGATCACTCACTCTGAGCAGAGCTAGGTACCATATTGTGAGGTCCCTCAAGCAGCCCCATGGAGAGGCTGAGGGAAACTGAGGCCTCCTGTGAACGCTGACTTGCCTTGCCTCTGTACATGCTGCCTTACAGACGGGCTTCCACGGGGCCGTGGCCTGACGGGCACTCGACTTCAATCTCGTGAGACCCTGAGTCAGAACTACCCAGCTCTTGGGGCCTCCCTGATGGCGCAGGGGTTAACTGTA